TCTGAATTTTCTAAAGGATATATGGTTTCAATAATTTCTAATAGTATGTGATATTTATTGTTAATCCCATTGTATCTATAATGGGTGGTTCCGAAAATCGCCATAATCTAGTTCATCTCAGACTGTGTGGTGTTGTGAAATAATGTTTGAGTGAAATATTAAGCTTGATTTCATATTAACTGTTTATTTTATATGTGGGTATTGCAACCACAGATTTAGAAATGAAATTGGTAATGCACCCCCAAAATTGATGTATAATTCTGATGAATTGGGTCGAATTGTTCATATTATCATCTGTTTGTTTTTTATTACAATTAATGTAGTTACAAATTTAAAATTGAAATATTAAAATTGATCAAATCACAAAGTGCATGTTTGGTGGATGACAAGTACGTATTTTGAGTGTCACATTTTTTTTATATTTAGGTACTAGTATACATTATTAAAATGCAACAAGACAGAGTAAATTGCGGCTTGTGTATATTAAGTAAAAAGGGAAATGAAAAGTTTGTTTACGTTTGGTCTTAACGTAGCAGACATCTAGCGTATACTCAAACAAACCAGCTTAGTCTACTTTGGAAATGAATTGTGTATTTCAGGGTAGAAAAATCAAATTATTTTAATTTTCCTCTTTGAAAGATGCATATAAATATATCCCTTTGCTAATATATGTATGCTTTTTTTGTGTTGGTTCAAAAGTTGATTTTAAGGGTTAAAGTGGCTGGGTCAATGCTCTACCTGCTGCCGACTTTCAAATGTTAGTTATGCTGTTGCAGTGATACTGTAAATAGCAAAATGCAGTTTTATAATGGGAAATAATGTGGCTTTATCATATTATTTAAAATATACTATTTTCTAAAAGATAAATATGTAACTGTGGTCTGGGAGAACCTTGCTGCTGTTTTATCAATTTTTCAGAGATTTTCTAAGTTGTATTTCTTTCTATGTTGAATTTCAGTGTATTTTAATTTTAGTGTTTTAGTTTGTCTTATTTTATTTGTCTTTTGTAATGATTTTTTTTTTACCTTACTAAACCCACAGATAGTTAAGTTGCGTAATAAAAGTTATTTATAATTATGGTAATTATGTGTATTATATCGTTTAAACGTATGTTGTATTAACATAATTTTTATCATCGCGAAATTGAGGTTTATTTCATTTGAACAATAACTTTCACAGTATTGATTGCACCATAAACCTTAGAAAGAGAGGGACAGGCAACTACATCATTACTTTTGTTTTAACCTGGGTTATAATCCTCCAAATAATCTCACAATCCTATTAACGAATAAACAACCATCTGTTTATGTGTACTGTCGGCAGCACTCGTGAAATCGCGCAAAACGCGTGAGTTTCCCTGCGTGACTACTGAAGCGACGGTCAATTGTATGTTAATGAGTTTTCCACTTAGTATCACACGTTTCCAAATAGTTTAGAAAATTTAGAATTTCGACTTTTTTTAAAGCAAGTAATCAAATTAAAATGCCCAAATTATTTAGTAAACGCAATAATTTGAACAATAGATGTTTTTATTTTGAGAAATCGGGCGAAAATACAGCGATCTAAAACAGACCGGGTCAGCCATTTCCGGTGTAAGCTGCTGACTTTCACGGTTTCAAACAGTTTAGAAAATTCGTAATTTCGACTTTTTTATAGCAAGTTATCAAAATAAAATACCCTTAGGCTAATTACTTCGAAAATGGCATGACTCAAGTAACGAATGCAAAAATTTGAACAATATATGTTTTATTTTTGAGAAATCGGGCGAAAATAAAGCAATCAAAAAAAGATCGGGTCAGCCATTTTCCGAGTCGTTGTCGGACGATTGTCACACGTTTACAAGCAGTTTGGAAAATTCAGAATTTCGACTTTTGTAACGAAAGTCATCAAATTAAAACACCCTAACTACTTCGAAAATTGTACGACTCAAGTAAAAAATGCAATAATTTGAACAACAGATGTTTTATTTTTGAGAAATCGGGCGAAAATAAAGCAATCAAAAAAGATCGGATCAGCTATTTTCGTTGTCGGACGATTGTCACACGTTTACAAACAGTTTCGAAAATTCAGAATTTCGAATTTTGTAAAGAAAGTCATTAAATTAAAATACCCTAATTACTTCGAAAATTGTACTACTAGAGTAAAAAATGCAATAATTTGAACAACAGATGTTTTATTTTTGACAAGTCGGGCGAAAATACGGCGATCTAAAACAAACCGGGTCAGCCATTTCCGATGTAAGCTGCTGACTTTCACGGTTTCAAACAGTTCAGAAAATTCGTAATTTCGACTTTTGTATAGCAAGTCATCAAAGTAAAATACCCTAATTACTTCGAAAATGGCAGGACTCAAGTAAAAACCGCAAAAATTGGAACAATAGATGTTTTATTTTTGAGAAATGGGGCGAAAATACAGCGATCTAAAAACAATCTGGACGAGTCTTGTCTGTCCAGACGGCCTTTCAGACAGTTCGAAAATTTCAGAATTACGATTTTAAAATATAGACTAGCAAAACTAAAATACGCGAGTATCATTGAAAATAGTATGATTTAAGTGAAAATACGATAATGCAAACAAGTGTGTTTATTTTCCCGAAAACGGGCGAAAATGTGCCAGTCGCAGGATAAGTATTATTCAACCATTTGTCACCGCACACAAAATCAGCCGAGTAGTTAATTTATACTGATGAAAAAAAAAAAACGAATTGTAACTCTACATATAATAAGTATCACCTAATAACCAGTACAAAAAATGGATCTTGTATTGAAATTGAAAATTCAATGTAATGAGCACAAACACTGAAAGACGTGTTGCAAACTGCGCGGCCGATTGATTGTGAGTGATGGCATACGGCTTCCTTAGCTTGGTCATTTGTTTATAACTGTATATAACCCACGTTGCACGCCGGATGTCCTGAAATCCTTTGTTTTATAATCCAGTTGCCTGTTCCTCTCTTTCTAAGGTCTATGATTGCACATAGCTCGGTTAGTACGCGATGACGTGGGAGGTTTCTATACGACCTGGCGGGGAAAATACTATTAAGTTAGGGTGCCTTTCTTAATTGGGGTCAAGCCAGGACAGTCACACAACGATGGGATCGTAATATGGCCGTAAATTTGAGGACGTTCGTGGCAACTTTCGCCGTTGGTTTAGTATTTGGGGCGACCTTCTGTAGCGTATTTGTTCACTTCGAAACCGTTAAGTCTACCGGTCGTAGCAAGGAATTTTCAGTCTCGAAAATTTTGTCTGAGGATCCGTATGGGCATGTTGACATCGACGAAGAAAATGAGGTGTCGACACACGAGTCGGA